AACAGGCTTTCAAGAAACAGCTAGTTGACATGCCAAAATAGCATCAGAAAAATATTTCCATTATTTTAAACATAGCCAAAACACAAAGCACATTTACTATCACAGTAACCTGTTTTTCATTGTTTTCCAGCACAACTATACCCTTTAAAATATTTGACCCAGGACCTAACAGAAAAATGAATCACAATGTAGTCTCTCCTGCAAAGAGTCACCTTATTCTGTGGAGATGGATGTGATAACATTCAAGGCTAATTTCAAATTCATCACCATGCAGGCAAAACCACCTCTGCTGTTACTGTCCTCTACGATAGCCCACATTAAGCTACATGCATGGCTTTTACTTCTCAGGTATGGCACTGGCACTAAGACTCTGCCACAGATTCCCTTGTGCTGCGCAAAGCACAGTCTTTCTAAAAATCAGTCTCCAGACTGCTCATGTTTCTGCACTGACTTTCAAACAGGAGTAGTAACAACCCACCAAAAAATGAAATCTTGCAGCACAGATGCAAGACACCCCGTACCAAGCCTCACAGAATGCAGTAGTCGTGTAGCTGGTCTTGCATCTTTTTATGACAGAAACACAAACACTTTGGGAAGACACAGGTATGACTCTTAGGATCTACAGGTACCACAACATCCTTCAAGGATGAGGATGCAGATGGGGAACATCTCTAAAAAATGGAATGAAAAGCAAGTCAGCATATGTGACTCCACCTGTACAGCAATAATACTGGGAGTGAGGGAGGTGGGATTGCCTTGTTGTCTAGACATGCAGAGCCAAAACTGAGCCTCCAGCTTCCACACAAAGGTGAGTGCTCCCTGGACATCTGCAACAGTTTTGTCAGCTCTCTGAATCTTTGCAAAGTGCTGAGAAGTAGGTGGCCATTACAGTCTGGAAACTGTGCACACCTAGGGGCTATCAACCATGGCAAAGCAATTTAGTTTTGCCATGGTGGTGTCTGAGATGACAGCACTTCCCCTGGATTTAATTGCAAAGTGGTTTCCTAGATTCCCAGAGACCAGTACTGCTACTAATGATATGCATATGGATTTCTTCTTCAAAATGAGGAGATGTGTAACTACTCCATGATCCTCTTTGCCCTGTCAGCCTTGTGCAGGCCAACTAATTCCCACTCAGAGGAGGGCATTCACAGTGTGAACAGAAGGGGCAAATAATGCTGTGCTTTATTGCTTGAGCTCTATAAACTCTGCCTTTAAATCAAGCCACTGTTTTGCTTAATTCTTTGCACTTTATGTGCATTCCTATGCTCAATTACATGTGCTTTGCTTCCAGTGAACTTTTATATGTGGGTTAAAAGATTTTCACTCTTGATTACTGTGACTCAGTTTGGTTCCAGAAGCATTTCCTGAGCTTTTTGTTGCCTCTCCCTTTTCTGGCTACTTCAGGGTAATGGAGCATCTCTTCACGGATTATGCATGCCACTTCCTGCATTCACCCAAGAGTTAGTGGAAGTGCCACAGTTTCCCTCTTCCATATAAATTTGGTTTTAAAACACAGTTAAAGGGGTCAACAGGCAAAGGACTCTACTGAATGTGCAACACGAAAAAGATAACAAAAGCTGTCTGGACTGCAAACAAGAAGAGATTCTTTGAAGCCAAGATACTCCAGCCAAGATTTAATAAAACAACAAAGAGAAAGAGAAAAAACTAACTGAACCAAGAACAAAGGGCAGCATCACAAACTAACCGCTTTGACCTGCCAAAAGCACTGAAGAACAAAGAAAATGAAAACATAAGGCTGCTGAAAACAAACAGGAGCAAAGTGCAAGGCTGTACACAAAGCTGTACACAAAGTGCAAGGCACATTCGGGCCAATCCCAAACATGTGTGGGAAAGTGCAGGCTGTGTTTATTATGGTATCTCCTGCAGGCATTTTTATCCTTTTCCCATCTTTTGATGCATGTGGGGCAGTACAGAGTAGGTCAGGTTGACTTTTCCCTTCCTGAGTTAACAAGGAGCCTCCTGCAGGGCATGGAAAGGACAGGCAGCCCAGCATGCTCCTGGTGACTGACCTCAAGCTGGAGAGAACACAAAGATGGAGGATCACGCTAGTCCTGCACTCAGTGGCAATACACATGCCAAAGATCATCCAGGCTCTGGTGTCTCCAAGTGCTGGCATCCACACCGCTGCAAGCAGCTGCCCAAAACCTCAGCAGGGAAGGTGTTTAGACCATGGCACCCCAGTTATTTTGTCAGTCATTTATTTTGCCAGCCTATATTTGCCAGTGGAAGATTAAACAGCCAGGCTGAGGGAAAAAAAGCCAAGCTTGAAGCATTAGCAAACTCTTTGTGGCTGGAACCCACTGTGGACTGCTTGACTGTTTCCTTATCAGCATTGAGTCCTGGTAGCATAGGCATTCTGGCCAAAACCCAGATTCCTCCAGCCTGGTAAACAGCACTGTGACAAGTAGAGCTCCTCATGCTGAGGCTGAAATAATTTTCCTATGAACATCTCAGGATAAAAAGCAGGGTGTCAGCATCCGCTGTTTTGGACGTAACTGGTCTAACTTGACAGGATAAAAGAAAAGAAAATTAGGGGAAAAGGAGAAAAAATAGTAGCTTCAGTTAACAGCAGGCCTAGTAGTGTGCCATAGCTTCCATGCAGCAGGGACAGAAGAGAGGGGAGTCAGGATTAACAAAGTGGGGATGTCTGCTGGCCTCCTTGTTGCTCTCAGGCTGTGCAGCACATGGCATTTGATAAAGTCCCATGCACAGAGCAGGGGGAAGCTCCTCATACACAGGCAAGAGACCTGAGCAGGCAGGGAAACACACTCAGTCTCACCCTCAGGACTTCAGCTGAGCTGGGTATGTTTATATTGGGGTAGACACTGCATACAAGGAGGAGATGTTAAGTGACAGGCTTAAGGACGGCCTCCATCATTAACATTATGTGTATCTGAGACTAACCTCTCTGGGGTAGTGGATGCATCTGTCAGAACAAGCCACTATGGAAGTGAACACACAAGGGGAGCAAGCAGATATCTGAAGGGTCACGAGGGCTGGATCAAATACAAGAAGGAGAGCAGGTTTGCGGCTTGATCTGATGGTGGAAGAATAAATGGGTCTAATTCACACACTTGCTGAGATTCCTTTGCAGCATGAATTCTGACTGAGTTTTGTCTGTGGGATTTCAATTGCCAGAGAATCTGTCCTGGTTGTGACACTCCAGGTGGAGCTGTCAGCAGTGACAGGTAAAAGAAAACTCATCTTTTAGTGTCTGAACTTGAGCCAGTTCAATTGGAAAGTGATTGAGGGTGAATAAATACACAGCAGCATTACAGTATTTTCACAACCTCCTTTCTGAGTATAATTTCACTATTAGGAAGTTTGTTGGCACCTACTGGAGGAATAAGCACATAGGGGGGCATATCTCCTTTCTCCTCCTGCTTTGTGCAGAAAAGTGGAATTAAATTATTCTGTGCACCGACAGATTGTTCCAGTAAAATAGAATTTGAAGCCACTGGGGACCCACTGGGAAGAGAAGCTTTTACACTATATGAAAAGGCAAGAAACAAAACCCTTGCCAAAACTCCTTCACTCTTTATTACCGACAGCTGCAACGCTGGATGCGTCCGGATGCCTTTTAAGAGCCAAGGGGAGTGACGGAGGTGGGATGGCATGTGAGCAGATGAAATACATGGCAGCTTCTCCCCTGACGGCAAGTTTAATTATTTGCAGTGTTGTATACACAAGAAAAAAATACACAGATATTGGGAAATCATTCACTGTGATTCCTGTGTCAGGTGCATTATGAAAAACACTTGCTCTTGCTGGTCCGTGGCAAAGCAAGGTCTTAAAATATTCAGAACCTGCATATGCTTTTGTCACAGACGGGAGGAATAACAAGGTAGAATATATTTCAAAGAAGGAGAATGTGAATATATCAAGAGAGCAAAAAAAGAGGCGCTTTGCTATATGAACTGAGATATCCAACGGAAGTGAACTAAACCAAACCTTAAGACAAAGAAACAGTTTCTTCTGTGTATTCCAGAGGACTTTCTAATGCATCCCCTCTTGTCCTTTGTGCATTTTAAGACCATTGGAAAGGGGGAAATCTAATTCTCTTGTCTGTTCAGTGCTCAACTAACAAACAACAAACTGTGCTTTGTTAGGATTAATTTTCTCAAATCCCTCTGCTTCAGGATCCAGGAGCTTATGTGACATTTCAGGGTGACTATGCAAGATGTGAAATGCTCCAAGTCACTAGCCATGGGTCATAACTCATAAATAAATCCTATCAGTGATAATATAATCTGTGAAGCTACAGGCAGAGTAAAAAGATGCAGACAGGTCATCTTTCTGTAAACTGCAGTTTAGGGGTTAAGCACAACTGACTCAGAAATTACAACCATGTGCAAGGTTGTCTGGCAAGCCTTGATATACTTGCTTAAGTTGACGTCTTATGACTGTCAATAGCTTTTCTGCTTGAATACGAGTATGGTTACATTCTCCATGAATTTATCTCTGCTGCTGCTAACTTCAGCACTCCTTATGAACAAGGCCTACACGAGGATCAGTAGCTTTGAAGTGCAGAAAGATGAAGACCTGCCAGCTCAAATCCCAGCTGACCTATAGAAAGCATGCACTGCATTTTCTGGATGGCTCAGGGGCAGTCCTGAAGCCTATTCTTTCTTGAATCTTGCAAATATAATGCTTGTTCATGCACTTCTTCCTCTCTGTGTTTATGTAATGCTGTCTGCTGTACTCTTACAGCATATACACCTAATTATGAAGATTACAATACATCATGTGAGGCCATACAACGAGGACAGCAAGTAATAAGAGGACATTTTGTGCCATTCAAGCAGATAACCATATCTTTCTCCTGCACAGAGGACATAAATAAGTATATTGTATAGAAAAGCCATCAGAGAAAGTGGCTGCTGTGCTACTGACCTAGTACCTATGTTTGAAAACCTGAGTCAAACACACAAAAAAGCTCTGTAAATTGCAAAAGAAAAGAAAACATTATGACTTACCTCACAGGGGGAGTTCCTCAAAGGAGCTGGAAATGCAGTGCTGGTCATGACAGTCTTTGCTACTGCTGGTGCTTTGCTGGTGTTAAGGAGGAGTGCACAACCTGATAAAAGAGAAGGAAGAAGGTCAAACTGCAGCACTCACCTTCTGAGGTTTCAGGGTTTGTGAAACCTCCCCAAAACCTATGTTAGTTGGCTCCTACTACAACAGAATGCCAGGGAGCAGACGGCTTTTTCAATTTCTTAGGGATGCAGCTTCACCTACCTGAAAACCATATTCAGGAACCACATTTAAGGAGTACGTCTACCTTTCCCCTACAGCTCTCTTCTGTTGCTCCCCGCCCTCAGATTCATCCTCCTTGCAAGGGTGAATAATAGAGTATATCTTCTATGAACAAAAAGTAACTTAGAACAGAAGTATTTATCTTGACCAAAACCAAACAACAATACAGCTATGGCAAAACACCATCAGACTAAGATTAATGCAGCTGGACACCTCTTTGCTACTTTAATAATTAGCTGTAAACAAGGGGAACAAGGCCAATAGCAACACTAGGGTTTTCCATTGGCAGCTTTGCATGAAAGGGTGTGGTTTTGCCCTATTTCAGCTCTGCCCTCTAGCTCAGGACAGTAGCATTACTTAGAGTCCAGTTATTTGGTCTTTCATTCTGCAGCATAGAAATATCACAGAAGCAACAGCATTTGCCAGCTCCCCATCAGCACCCTCATTCTGGCTCTTGGCCTTGTTTACTTGTGTTTCCGTCACGCTGTGGTCTGTTATTACCAAGGGCTAAACCATTGCATGACATAAATCAGAACAGCTGCACAGTTCACATGAAAGTAGAGAATCTTACTCTTCATGTTTAACTCTGGATCTACCTTTTCAAAACAATGTTGGGATTATATATCATTAATTTCCTGTTATTATTGCATCCCTTTAGATGCTCTGTACCTCAGCAATAAATGTCTGTAATGATTTATGTTATTGCATTAGAAAAAAACTTATCCTGGCAGGGAGTGTGTTTGCCAAAACTCAGCCAGCAGTAGTTCAGTGCCCAAAGTATAAACCTTCAATGGTTTGCATGAGAAGGATTAGAAATGACTGGCATTTAGGTAGGAGAATCAATTATCCATAAAAGTGCAACTCAGCGGATCATGAAGCAAAGAGAAGAAAAATTAGAATGTGAGCAGGGGAAAATAGGAGCAGTAGAGAGAAACGGAGAAAGTAAAAAGGAAAATCAGAAAGGAAAAAACAGATCAGTATGGAGGAGGGTCATGCAGATGAACATTTAGTATGAAGTTGTTTAGAAAGGGGCAAGATCTGTATCTGGCATCAGGGGTGGAAACTGAGGTACTACTCTATACCCTCAAGACAAAAAGGGAGCAGGATAGTCTTTTGCTCAAAGCACTCAGAGTAGAAAGATGGGGTTTGTTTTTGTTTCACTGGAGGCTGAATATGTAAGTACACAGGAAAATCTGCCTTGTGTTTTATTCCCTCTCCTCACCATTTGTGCATCTTTTTTTCTCTCTGCTCTTTATGCTCTACACTTACTATTTACTTATCACATACCTTCTATTGAAGGAAAACGGTTGTGTTCCGAGCTTCCAATCCGCCATGGAGAAGGATGGGATGCAGAGGAGCCTGGCATCCAGCCACAGTCCCCTTCTTCAAATGAACAGTAAAAGCCAGAGGGAAGCTTTCCTGCAAGAGGGAACGAGATGCACAGATACACACAGAAAAACCCAGGTGAGCTGAGGAGGAGTCTCCTGGGCACGAAGAGAAGCTGCAGTGACTCTTCTGGCCTGGTTTGCCCAGGGAATGTGGGCACCCCACAGTTATTCAGTCCTTCTGTGTAGAGTCATGCACATGCCTGGCCGTGGGGAGGGTGGTGCGGTGGGAAACAATCCCCAGGCTGTGACTGACTCCTCCCACACTCTGAATAACCCGAGCAAGAGGACACATCTCAGTATTACACTATGGGGTCTCCTACATATCTGGCCTCTCAGCTCGGCAGGTATAAGCCCACTCAAGGTTACATCTTGGAGATGACTTCCCTGCTTCTGCAGCTCCACAGTGGGAAATCGTGCAGAGGGATACATTCCTAAAAAGATTCCCTCCCTTACAGTCTAGATTTCTACTCATTCCAGCTCAGCAACATGACCTCTCCTCTCTGTGAGCACTGATGTGGCCTCAGGTAAAGCACTGAATCCTTTTGTGTCTCAGTTTTTTCACCTGTGAAACTCTTTTGTCAGATGAATGGCTGAAAAGAGGATAGTTTATTTTAAGCCATACTTTCAGGCTTCGAAGCCCACTCATTCTGTCATTGGCTTCAAGTTCCCAGCTCCAAACAACAGAGCTCCACTAGGTTTTTGCCTTGATATTAATCAGTTTTAAAGCAATGGTAATCTCATTCAAAGCAGAAGGTATGCTTCTCTACCTCCACTTGCACGTTCTTCTTACAAAGGGTGCACATATTGCTCCTTTTGCCCCAAAAAAAGAAAATGATACAAGGAATCTGTTTAAAACTGCAAGAAAAAAAAATGAAATTTCATGTGCAGATACATACCCAGGACATTTGCTTTTCCTTTCCTTTTTTTTCCTGTTTTTTCCTGCTTGATAAAATCAGAGTAAAAATTTATTCACCTACAAGATGGAGTATAGACTACAAACTCCTAATCTAAGAGAATCTGCTAGTCAGGGGATACTGGTAATTTCATTAGCCCCTCTGTGAGAAGTGGAGTCTCCTGAACACGCATTTTGTTATGATTATTAAATTTTTTTCCCCCCTGAAATTTTATATCTATAAAGTGGCTGTCAGACACTGAGGCACCAGTATTCAAGCTCTGGATCGTTCAAAACGTTTAAGTATCAGGAGATCCCTGCAGTTGAGATTTCAGGTCAATTAAATACCTGCTCTCAGGGCCTCACCTTTGACTCACACACCTCAAAAGCCACTGCCAGTGGCACATGTATGTGCTCCTTGGTGTACCCAGAGAAAACAACTGGGGAACACCACAGCTGCAGCATCTAGACCAGAAATATTTGTTTTTCTAGGAGCCTGAGAAACAATTCACTTGGCAGAGGAAACTGAAACAAATCCTCTATCTGTAGCTTTTTAGGAGGGCCGATTTTGAACCTGGAATGCAACACTGAGGCAAGACCCATATTTTAGTGTTTTTATCTGCAAGCATTAAAATCTGTTATGAAAAGTTTTAGAACGTGCACTGAAGTTCAGGCTTTTTCGACTTTTTCCTTTTAAAAATCTCCAGATTCATTCAGTCTTTTCTTTAAATGTAAAGCTCTTAAGCAGAGAGTTACTTCCTAGTGTTTTACCCCTCTATAGAACTTGACTATATTTCGCTGTGCAGCCTGAGGCTGGGATACAGAGAAAATGACAAATTGTAATGTGCCCTGAATTCCTACTGAAACAGCTTGGCTCAGTGTCCAACTGAATTCATGTCATGGCCATTTGCTATCTAGGATGATGTAAACAAGTCAGAGCAGCAGGAGGAGTCATCTGAGTAGCGATCCCTGCCTGGAGGCCACGAAAAGCTCACTGCCGATGAGTAAGGGCATAAATAAGAAGCTATTACTTTCACAGAATATTTCACTCCCCTTCCACAAATTAATTTTTTATGAGTTTTCAGATGTTCTGTGCCCTGGATGAATTTTCTCTGCTGCTCTTTCTTACTCTGAATGTACAGACAGCACCTATGATTCCATGTGTTGCTACTCCACAAAGACCTCTTTCTCTGTTGACCTGTACTTCTCAATTTTAGGAATGTTTGTGATTGAAGCTCACATTAGCACAGATACCGCACTGATGAGGGGAAGCTAATCTGACTTTATTGGAAATTCAAGTAAAGGAGGGAGCAGGAGTTACTCCTATTGAAACTTGCCATATTGGATATCATCATTAGTGACAGAAACCTCAGATTTAGAGCTTAGTAAGATTAAAATGCAGCTTGTAGGTATGGGATGGAGAACAGAGTAGCCCAGTGAAGTTGAAGTACTGGAGAATATAAGAGTCTCTGCTTTTGTTTGAGTGATGAAGCAGAGAAAAGCTGTCAAGTGTTAAACTTGTTCCTAACCAAATATTTTCAAGTCTTCAGAATGAAATACTTTTCAAGCAAAATCTAATCAAGTTCAAGTTCTTTTTGTTTAACTCAGATTTTTCATCCATTAATAGCCAGAAAAATTAGCAACTGAAATAACTTATTAAGCAGATGGAGCAGGCTCCTGATTCAAAACTAGGTGTAAATCAACCAGATACCACAGCTTAAACTTTTGGGTAAAATTCCAGACTGATATGATAAAGATGAAACGCATAACGGAGTACTCTGTACATATGGACCTTTACTAAGGAGGAAATCTCAGAAGCCAAATAGATCAGCTACTCAAACAACTTAAAGAACCGCATGAATCTTAAACATGATTTTGTTTCAGTGATTGCTTCTATGCTAGCAAAGCTGGCCAGCCAAATTTTACCAGAAATGAAGCATAAAAAAAGAAATATTTTTCAACAGTTGACAAAGAGTTATCCTTAAATACCAGATGGCTTTGCTGAATTCAGAACTTCCAGAGGTAATAATTTGTTGCTATAAGTAAAGCTTTTGATCAAGAAAGAAGCAGAAGGATTAGTGTATGCAAGACAGGAACCTTAAGAGAGCGTAGCATGGCAACAGGTTGCTACTTCATCATTTTGCTTGCAGAGAGACTTTGCTGGGCTGTATCTGGATATAAATGAATCCAGTGGTTTCTTCATGCATTTTTACCTGGAAAGTAAACTGGTCCCTGCAGAATTGATTATCCACGCTTTTTTTGGTCACTTGTCCGTGTTACCACAAATTCAAGCTTTATAGGTTCCTATTGTAGCTGCCATCTGGTTTTTTGGCACATATGTGCATGTACTCCTCCAACCACATAGCACAGCCTGAGCCACCTCTTTCGGGAATCAGACACTAGTCTTCCTTATCTCACCTGATATGGTGTTTAACATCCTTAAATATTTAATGAGGCAAAGAGTGAAAATTATCCTATAACCCAGTGATTATGGGATTTATTTGAAAGATGGAGGACATTACTTTCACTCTCTATTCTACGTAAAATTTGTAAAAGAGCAATCCCAGGAGAGACTTGAATAACCATTTTCTTCTGAGCTAGACCAGAACTCCAGATCACAATCTTGGAAACTCTCACAGAAATAGGAACTATGGATTCAAATTCACTTAAGCAGAAGAAAGAATCAGTCCTGGGTTAGTTGTATTCTGAGTCAATCCTCTAAGTTCTGGGTCTCTAGATAATAAATATACTATGGGCACCTCCATTCTTTTTAATTTTATTGTATTTTTTTAAATATATCCAATACTTTCCTAACATGCTCAGACTGATTAACCAATATTTTCCCAAGATGAAATTTTTTCATGAATTTGTGACAGAAAGTAAAACAATTTTGGACTAGTCAAAATTATATGCACCTTTTTTTCCAGTAAAATTTTAATTTTTGCCCAGACTTGCTGCACTGCAACAAAAGATTATTGAACCAAAAAGAGAAGTATAAAACTACTAAAACAAATTCACACTTTCTGTAACGCTCTGCCAATCTGTATTAGTAAATAATTTGGGTTTTCATCTCTGTCTTGTACCATACCAGGTATATAACGTCATTACTACAATAAGAGGAAGTAGGGGGTTTTTGAGGTTTTTTTTGCAGTAAGCCATATCCATATGTTGAGTGATTTGGTATACTACTTATATAGAACTTCTTGTTTAGCATTAATAGCACACTACATTTGCTGAAGTGTTAGGCACAAGCTGTGAACTTTCACTGGGTATGCTGACCTTTCCACCTAGTCAAGTAAGAGAAGACCCCAGAGCCAGTTCAAGACAGAAGATAAGGAAGTTATGTTCATTAGAGAAGATGCAACATTAGAAATAAGAAACATCCTACCTTGAGGCAATGAAGAGACACAGTGAAGAATGGGAAGACCTCCCCAACCCTCATATGGGGAACTACTGGTCCAAACAGTCACATGAGATGTGAGAAATTCAGATTGTAAGGGTATAATTTCTTTGTTCAATGTTCTCCTTTGGAGACACCTAACTCAAGTTATTGCACTGTTAAAAAAAAGTACTTTTATGGAAGAATCTATCAGCTTATCAATTCAGAGGAAACCTAGAGTTGAAGTCTGTTATGGTGCATGTGTAATTGCTGTAACACATAAAAGCATGAATTTACCAGCAAAGACATAAGACTACTGCTATCTGAAGACTTGATGTGTGTCTGCAAAGTATGCTCTACAAAGTAATTTCTAGTGTGGCACTTCCATCAGTCTGTTAACTGTGTACATCTGATCCCAAGTCAACACACACACAGAGTTTGGCATCTAATTCCACAACTCCCTCTTTGAAGCTGTCTTTTACTCCTGCAAGAATGTCTGATTATGACTCAAACAGCAACATGCTTTTCTCTAGGGGTCATCCCTCTCTGATTTTACACTCTCTACACAGAGTAATTGGTTGCAATGCAGAACAAGCACCATGACATTTCATTGGCCATTAATAAGTAAAGAGATGTTAACAAACAGCAGGCTTTAGGGAGATTTTTTTATTCAGCTAAGAAAGGAACAAAAATCAAATGAATAGGAAAAAAAATTTAAAATAATAATAAAATCAATCAGTACCTGCACAGGTAAAAGACTGTGAAAGGCAAAAAACCCAAACATCTCCCTGAAGCTCAAAGAAAGAAGCCTTTGGTTAATGGTAATTTTAAAAGCTCTCCCCTCAGTTCTGAGCATAACTACATCTATTTCTGACAGCTCTTTTGTGTAAGCAGAACCACTTGGGAAACCCCCTTCTCTGCTTGAAAAATCTGAATCACTTTTTACCACACTTGTAAAAAGCTGATGAAAACATCTGTGTTGCTCAGCAAAATGACAACTAAAATATTGAAAGATGGCATATGTTTTGTGTTAGGCTGCCATGCAGATATAACTGACAACTAAAATATTAAATCACTTCTCTGTTTTGTGTAAGAAGCCTTATGCCAACAATATTCAATATATCAAAGCAGAGAAAGCAGCCATAGAACTGAGCACGCTTGTAAGTGAAAGAACAGACATATCCCCAACTCAGGCATTTGCTCAGGCAAGCCACTCTTTTTTGTTGCCTGAATGGAAGATGGTGGTTTTAGGACCTTTTGGCTGGGAGTAGAAACTCTCATTCCCAATAACTGTGGCTGAATACAAGACATGAGGACTTCTCCTCAAGAGGGAGTGATGCTGTGCTAAACAGCCGGCTAAATATCTTCTGCTTTTTATATTTTCTCATTGACATTCTCTGTACATTCTTTTGCCGACACAACTGTAAGTGCTGTAGTTCTTCATGGGAGTGAAGCACTAGATGAATGAAGCCATAGATGAATACTGCATGGAGGGAAGAAAGGCAACGAAACCAAACCCTGTGGATAACACATGCCAGGCAAGGGTTGGCCGCTTTACCAATTGGACACACCATGGGGTACAGGGCTAAGGGGCAAAAGCAGAGCCAGCCTCCTGATACCTGACTGTGGCCTGAATATGGGCAACACACCAGCCACAGGCACAGCCAGTGTTTGAAAGTAACAGGGAAGCGTGTTCATCCAGGCCTGCCCCATCCCGTGGTGGTATTCAGTTTACACCCCTGATTGGCACAACTCCACCTTGTGAGCTCTGCTCTTCCCACTGGTATAGACAGGATTACCTTCACAAGGCAGAACCATTTACCACACACAGACACAACAGTGTATCTGAACATACAGTTGATGATAATGTTTCCCTATTTCCAATTAAATGAAAATGCATTCAACCTACTGGTTATAATAACCTACTAACTTTTTTTTAAATTATTGAGTGGGACACAATAGAAATACTATTATGAGGTTTTAGAGCTCTGTTTTAAAGCTCTTAGGTGAAAATAAGGTTTCAATATCACTATTATGAAGCATTATTGGTTCTAAGGAGCTGCAAGTCCACAGTGCTGACACTGTTCCTGTGACTTTAATGTTCACTGAGTGTGTCATTAATGAACATATTTTCAAATTGTAACAATGCCTAATATGATGGAGAAGCATATAATGTCCAGTTTACTAGATGATCCTAGGTCAGACCAATGTTCTCCACACCAATAAAGTCTGTTACTTTATTTCTTTATTAGCAGCAGAGAAGTGAAAGCTGCTAGAAGTTGTGTGTCACTCTTACCTTAAGTTTTTGCTAGAAATAACAAAGGTATGTTAGTCTAGACAATTACCTACATCAACTCAGATTGTTTGAATTACCTTACACAGATTCTCCCCTGTTCTAGTTGCCATGTATGAAAGCAGCTGTCTCTCACATATGAGAACAGCTGTCTCTTCTATTCCAAAGGCTTTTACTGGTACTGGTATTTTCATCAGGGAACACATTTTTTTGCATACCAAATCAATGGAGTTCTATTGTCAACAGCCCATAGGCTAGATCAGCTGTGACACATACACTTTAAATGATGAGCTCCCAACATTTATTTTTCTTGATATGAGTGCCCTGTAGACAACCATACAACTGACAATCCACCACTCCTATTTGTAGGCTGGCAAAGGGGAACATGCTGGAGAGGTAGAATTTATAGAAAAAGAGATAAGGCATCTTCAGGATAGTAAAAGGAAGGTCCTAAAGTTCCACAGCAGATTTTAGAAAGTACTCAGGCACAGCAAGTTTTCAGAAAACTCAGGCTGCTATCTATCTTCTGCTGTATTTTATTAGACTACTGACTGTTGAAGAGAGGGCAGAAAACCAGAGGAATACAAAGACACAGGAGTTGGTCAAAGACAAGCTACTGGTTCTACTCATTTTTCATCTTAGAAGTTTTCTCCTTCCTCTCCCTTCTGCCACATGCTGTGCTATATTTTGATTAAAGGCTTTAACCAACAACACATTTCATAATTCTGTAAGGCATCTAGCTATTCAGGCTATACTTCCTTTGCATTTTTGATCAGGACCATGGAAGAGACGAAGCACCGAACCTGCTGCAGAACTAATGTAGGCAAGTACAGAAACATATCAAATGGTCCACTCCAGGCAGATATCCAGAGAAACTGCATGTGTTATGGAGGAAATGGATCTTTTGATAGTACCAAATGAATCTGTTAGTGCTAAAGTCTGAGGTATTAAAATTCAAAGCAATCAATGCTTTTGGAAAAGGATGATAGAACCTGGGTGTTTGGATTTACTCACTGCATGTATCTCCCTCATCTTCTCCCTCGGCGCAGTCCCTGTTGAAGTCACACGCCTGCCCCAGCCTGATCTCTGTTCCATTCCAGCAGCTGAAGGAGCCCTCCAGAGCCATTTTTGAGAGAGAAGATGATCCTAGAGAAAAACAAACAAAGAAAAAAAAATAAACCCACAACTACTTCAGATTATCAAATTGCCTTCCTCTCAACCAACAGGTCGCAGGATCCTGCATAGCACTGAAGGGAAGAACACCTTGTAAAATCCCCTCAATACAATAATTACTTGACAATTATTTTGTTTGACCTGTTTAATCTTGTCAATTGTCTAATGGTCCACCTAACAGAGCATTTCAGTTCCTCAGGCTTTTCTGGCGCTATAACATGGAAGACATCTCTGACCTCTAAAGGGTTGAAATCCTGCAGCCTGCTCTGTGGTACTTCTCAAGAACAACAAAACACATGATAGGTTTTTAATTATGTGCGTGTTGTCTACTGCTACACTGGCAGTACTGAAGACTGATATCCTCTCTGCCTATCTCAGGAATAATATGGCTACAGGGTTTGAAAAGAACACAAGCTTTCATTGTGCTCTCCTGGCAACGTGCATTACCTTTCCTTCGGATGTATCATGTTGTCATATTCTCTCTGCAGGAAAGAAAACAGTCTGATCTCTACTTGTAGTTTTATTTCTCTTCTATACCTACTCCTGCATCCTGCGTTCCCTGTGTGTCAGGGAGCCACAAAAGACTACATCTACCAAGATACAAAAATCACCAGTTCATCTTACCTGTGCTAAGCAGCAAAAGGCAGCCAGCAATGTGCAAAGGAGCCATCTCTCATGAAATGAGGTCACTGACCATTACAATCAGAGGTCAGTATCATCCATTCAGAAATGATCCTGAGTAATTGTCCTGTAACACCATTCTTTTCTGGAGGCACTTGATTCCCTTGACAGCTGAGAAGTCAGAGATCATGTAGCCCACTAGGTGTCATCTTCCTTACCATAGGAATTCTCTCATCCCAAGTTCTTTTTTTGTGGTCAAATGAGATACTTAGGACAAGACCTTTTTTTTTTCAATTTAAATTTTTTTTAAGAGGCACATGGTCTAGATTAAACACCTGAAGGAGACAGGAACTAGTTCAGCAACATCCTGCAGCCAGTATGCATGGAGGAGGCTAAGCTTGAGAAATGCCAGAGTTCCTTCCACAATAATCTGGTCTAGATGCAATTTCCTGACACCTTCCTCACTCTGCAAAGATGTGTTTCCAGTCACTACTAGAGGGTAACCCCAGAAATATGAAGAGATCTGTGCTGTCAATTCCCCACTGCAGCAACAACTGCACTGTCTCATCTTAAATGGGTAAATGCACAAGATTAAACCAAAGCCTCTGGGTAAAGTGAGCCATTGTTTGCCTAACTCATCCATGCTCACTAAACAGTGAAACTACATCATGTTGTCTGGTACTACAGGGAGCTGGGAATCACTGGCGATTCAATTAGATGTGCACTTGATACTTTTATTTATTATTGCCTGCCAAAACTAGAAATTAATGAAGCATGAACGAAAACACCTACTATTTCTCTTCAAGCTTATTTTATGGCGCAAATCAATTCAGGAGTGGGGGGAATACATGCCAAACCTTTTTAATAAAGGACCACAGCTCCTGAAAAGGGTGCTCTGTGTTATTGTCAGCTCAATTTTTTTGCCTGCCTTTGAGCAATTCTGGCTTGCCACATACTGGCTGCACAATGCCCTTGTATTTCAGTCAGGGTCAAGGCATGACTACAGAGGAGAGCTTTGCGGAACAAATAGACCAAGTAACTTGGAGCTGGTTGCTGGCAATTTCTGTGGGCTCCTTGCTGAGGGTTTAAGGCAATGAGATGGTATCTTCTTTGGTTTTGCTGTGCTTCTTACAAAAACGCACTCTCAGAGACAGGTCTGAGAGCCTCCCCTATGTGAGGTACAAAGTTCTTCACATGCCACAAGTCCCACAGAGTGGGCTCAGGTCAGTGTGCAAATGGACTCTAGAAACCTGTAAGAAGTGACTCTGGTAACTCAGTAGGTGACCCCTTCTCCTAGGGGTGTGCAATGAACCTGTACAGCACTGTGTTGTTGTAAGCACCACCTAAAGAAAAGTTAAGAGATGTCCCAGAGCAGTTGCATGAGGTTAGCAACATCATGACACTCCTAAAAATCTGTTCAGTTCTACTCAAATTCAGAAGTACTCTCGTCTCTCTGAATTATCCCACAGATGGTTTTGAACCTGATGTTTATTACCAGCTCTCATGTCCCACTCAGTTTATCTGCAATCTTTTCAGCAATGTCCATGTTTTATCCCAGCAGCTGCAGAGTTACACAGAGATTCGGAGGAGTGGCTGTTGTAAGCAATGGAGTTGTTCTGTTCAATCAATTAATTATAACTTTTTAAAGGCACTTGGTTTTCCAAGCACATGACTGCATTAGCACTAATTATAATGAAACCAAGGCATTCAAGAGAACTTACTGTCTTCCCAGGTGTCTTTGTTGCAGCCCAGGAGCACAAATCTCCTGAAGTCAACTGACAGTAGTATTTAAAAGATGACAGTTGCAACTAGAAATCAAACAATTCCAGGAGCTATTCCTCCAGAACAAAGCAGCAGATTTGCATGCTCACTCATCTCTGTGGAGATGGGGCTTGAATTAGCTCAGATTTGCATTAGATGCATATATACATGCTCCTTGTATAGGTTAGAGAACACAAATAGCAAAGCTGTAGCCCAGGGAATGGCTGGGCTCTGTGACAGTGCATGATTTATTCCTGTCTCTTGTTTGCTTGCTTACTGTGTGCACAAAGGCAAAATGAATTGGATAAAGGAGATGATTAACTAGTAAAACAAATAGATAACCAAAAAAAGCCCAAATACAAATAACCCTTTTAATGGGCCACTTGATGCAGATGTTTGCATCCAAGCTCAAGGAAACTCAATTTTTAATTAAAATACTTTGTAAGAAAAATAGACATTTGATCTTTTCATTTCTCAGCCCAAAGCACTCCTGGCAAAGTAAACCAGAATGACCTGGATTGCTGAGTGAAGTGGCGTCAACTCACACACAGGAGATATGTAAGGAAAAGAAAATGAATGGTATCAAATAAGTATCAGAGTAAAATTTGTGTGAGACATCCTTTATATTTACAGCAGTGTTTATGTAGCCAGTGGCATCCATAAATTACAGCAGTAATTAAACTGTACCATGGCTGGCTTGGAGGCTTATAAATCATTATTTAAACAGCAGCATTAAACAAATGGCATTTCAGGCTCTAAACTGAAAGGAGAAACAAACAACTCCTTGGGGAACAAGTGCTGACTTTGTACCTCACAGGTCCTGCTTCTGAACATAGTCTAGACCTGGCAGTGTTCAAATCTAGTACCAGACCTTGGACACAAATGACAGTCTGGGATCTTTACTGCCCATGCTTTTGGACTTAAGTTTCAATATATCAGGATGGAAAGAGGAAAATCATGTGGCTTAGCCTAATACAGGATCAGCAACTTACTGCTCAGACTGTGGGATGTATTTCAGTCCTCAGCAGATTTTCTCTGAGTTGGGCTGCCTCTTCTCTCTTTCTCTGTCTCTTGATTAGCAGAGTAAATGCAGTGTGCTGGTGAGTCTGTCTCTGAGGAACACAGCCAGAAAGATTGTGATGTTTGATCACAGCAAAATGGAAAACTTTAACTTACTGCCACCACACTAGACCAGGCGGGATGGAAGACTGAAATTCTTGCAGGCATCCACAAAAATATCTCTTATCTTGCAAACTGGTTACGCTGCTAATTATCATGTAGGATTAATCAAGTTGAACATAATTATACATTCACATGCTACATTCAACTTCTTAGGCCATAATTTTTAATGCTACCAAAAGATTTTTGGATGAACACAGTCAGGTGAAGCACTCTCGCTCAGCACACATTAAAACAAGAGAGCTTAGTAAGACAGTACTTGGTTGTTGTACAAAAACTGTGTCTATTGTACTCTGCAAAAATTCCAAAGACCTGGGATGAATGTACAGTCTTGTGCACGTTTTACCAACAAGCAGCTTCTCTCTGGTCTATCCTTGAGAAGCCCAGTTGGACACAGTTGAGTTGACTCCAGCGGTTCTCAAGGCAAAACCCTGTATGTCCACAAGGTGCAAAACTTCCATTTTTAATTGCATGTATGTAGTAAGAAATACCTACCATAGAAGTCCACCATATTTATCTAACCATATGTGCTACCTCTCAAAAAAGGAGAAACTTTCCTACTATTTAATTACACCTCTTGAAAAATGTTTTTTTAATAGGCTAATGCTGCAGTCTAATGTACTTCCACTAAATGCCCCTAAAAATCTGGGATTATGCAACCTCCCTGACAATGTCTATCTGTCACTAACTTCTCAATTTCACCTGCTCCTCCTTTGGTTTGACTTCAAGGGCTTTGACTTGACAGAGATATTTAAAAAAAGAGCACCTGGGGGACTTAAAGGTTTTGTGAAAAAAAGAAAAAAAAGCTACTGTCTAGTAGAAAAGGTTAGTGAAAATTCTGGGGAGTTTCTGATCGTTCATTTTTCTATGATTTGCCATTTCTGATGGGTACATCATTTCCTCACTCTTCATCTTCAGTCCTCCAGCCTTATAGCAGCACAGACATTTGAAGGCTGGTGGCTCACTTGGTGCTGGGGATAGCCACATTCCAGGACAAAGTAAATTTTGTATTGATCCAAGTCATTAATACCCCTGCTTTCACCACTTGAGAAATTGGAAGGTATGAAATAAAGGAGGTAAGAAAGCGAGAGAAGCAAAAGACAAGTTCATGTTTGAGAGAACTGAAGCCATTTATGGCAAATGGCCATTGAACTCCAACGTGATATAGGGCAGATCACATAAATCAGAACTTCCCCAGCCAGCTACATTGCTCTCATTTTCCAGACACATACCCCAGGACACCTGTATTCATATCAGCAAGGAAGCCAAGTAGTTGCAGCTGCAAATGAGACCAGTGAGAGAGATACTTGGAAAACACCTTGTCCTTAAAAAATGCTTTGATAAAAAAAAAGGATTCCAGGTTTCTCACACGAGGCAGCAAAAGTTGGTCAATACTTCATAATTTCTGACTT